TGTTTTGTACCTGATATTTCGAAATTAGGAGCCAAGTGGATTGCGTGGGCCGAATATTAGTATAATATTTCGTGCCACACCGCAGCACAGACCACCCTTTTCATGATATTGTATGGGCGAGATACCTCACTTGATTCATTATGATTACAGCACTACACCAGTATCCAGTGTCGATCAATACTTGGAGAAGAGGGTAAGATACTTGCAGAGCTCAAGGGGCATCTACTGAGGTCTCAACAAATCATGAAGAGGAAGGTGGAAGAACACATGAGAAAGGTGCAATTTGAACTAGGGTACATGGTTTATTTGAACTTAAGGTCCTACCGACAGAAGACATTGGCCAGGAGGAGAAGCGAGAAACTTTCACCGAGATATTTTGGACCTTATGAGGTGATGACACACATCGAGACAGTTGCCTACTGTTTGAGGTTACCGCCATTGTCCACAGTACACCCTGTATCACAGTTGAAACGTGTGATTAGAGATCATAAACCCTTATATAGACTGCCGCTATCACTGACAGAGGACTTGGAGGTGATTCTGAAGCCACTAGAGTTCGAAAGAGTGCGCCAAGTAAGGGGAGCAAGGAAAGTATTGGTTAAGTGGAAAGAATTGTCAGCTATGAAGCAAAGTAGGATCCTTATGAGGTGATCCACTAGCAGTTTACATTCTTCCACCTTGGGAGTATTGCTACACCCGTAACAGGATTGGTCCACGAGGGACCGGTCAAAAGCCATCCAACCGGCCCGCTCCCACAACAGGAGGGTCGATCCCCTTCACGAGAAGAAGCAGAGCGCCCTATTGTCACGACAGAAGAAGGGAGGGATTATGTAGGGTCCACGAGGGCTTTATTCACATACTCAACGAGGAAAAATTAAAGAAGTTTGGAGGGAAAGTGGAAAATAAAATTTTTTAAAATGTTCTGAGAGGTTTCTATTAAAGGGGAAATCTAGGGTTTGTCTTTTGGGGGGGATGCATATTTTTGTTGGCTATTGTTTTCTTTTCTTCTCGTGGTATTCCTAGCAATGTCTAGGATTATGGGAGAGCCGATCTACCTCTCGAAAAGTAGATCACCATTGCATCTTGTTTGTTTGCTTGCATTTGTCTTTTATAAGAGCAGCATTTATTTGAGTTTTCCATCTATCTCTTGCAGTTTCGTTGTTGTTTGTTCCATGATTTTGGTTCGAGAGCACATCAGTCCGCCTCTGTGAAAATAAACCAATCAAATAGAGCAACAACTACTTGCTATCAGAAACACTCCATTTCCAAAAACAAAAAAACAAAAAAACAAAAAAAAAACAAAATAATATTGTAGTGAAGCTTTTTTAATGGTCACTCCTATAAAAAATCAGTAAACTACAAAGATCCTTCGATTTAAGTGTCCTGCAAAAATCATAAAGAAATTCTTTTCCCATTTAAATATCTCAATCAATGTTGTTTCCAAATAATTGAAAGTGTTGCACTGTTCATATGCATTTAGTGAGGACAAGTTGATCCTCGAGCAATCAAGGCTCTGTTTAGCTGGGCTTTCTGCCTGCTTTTGTTTTAAATGGGTTTAAATTTAACTTAATAAATTGTTTAACAGCATTGTGATCTTAAAAAGTTCTTTTGTAAGACCTCCAGATTAATATCATTTTTGAAAGCTATATTGCCTACCGCTCCTGTTCATATATTGCTTAACAAATAATAATTTAGGAAAAAAAAAAAACCTTAATGCAGTCACGTCTACTGAGAATGACTCCTGCTCCCTTTTGTCCCACTCACATCTAGTCCATTATTATTCTACAATTTTATACGCTTTATTTCTGTTATACCGAATATAATACCATTATTGTTTCCTTAAAACAATAATTTTATACGTTTTATTATTGTTTTTCAATTTGATATCATTTCCAAAAGTAGTTCAAATTATGCAGGTTGAATATAATATTATCAAAATATCCATAGACAACAAAACAAACACATGAATAATAATTTTGAATAATTAAAATTATTTGAAAAAATAAAATAGAACATATGCTCATTAACTTTTAAAATATATAAGCATTTTAGCCTTTTATGCTAAAATAACAACTAATAGTTTAATCAAAACGAAAAATTAATTGTTTCAGAGTTCAAACAGCAGGTTATTCGAATAACATTATCAATATTAGTTGCAATATCTTTTAAACTCTGTTTTATCTAAAACAACTTCTAAATCAACTTTTTCAACATTAACAGCCAAGCCAAATGAAGCCTAAATGCGTCTTTATTGGCTATCCTCCCATAAACAACGGATGCAATAGCAAGGTGTATATATCAGCTTATGAAACTTTCAATAAAAAAATATTATTATTTTATTAAAACTTACCTTCAAAACAGCATCATTCACAAATGAGTTTTTTCTCCTAGAATGCTCTTTTTTACCCCTCGTCTAAGCAAACAATTTTATTTCAGAACAAGTCACTTCTATCCAAATTTGAGCTTGTGCCATAACTACTTTTTACTCGATCATTACACGTTTAATCAACATGAAAGGTGTGTTGATTATTTATTTATTAGAATAATCATTAAACCTAAAAATATAACTACAAGAAGTTCCATTAAATATTATTTATAGTTATTTTTATCATACAAAAATCTCTCATAATCATTAATCATTCCGTACTAGCCTGCATATTATTTCTCTCTAAAATAATCCATAAGTTTTTAATTAATGTGAATTGAAATAATGCTACCAAAAGAAAAGAACTTGTCGGAAGTAAGTGGGTGGGTCTTTGCTGTAAAATATAAATTTGATGATTTAAAGTCAAACTGGAGGGCAAAAGCTACACTCAAATATATAAAAGATTAAATATCTTAAAACTATTGCTCCTGTTACTAAAATCAACATTGTTAGAGTTCTCTTATATTTAGAAACAAATAGGTACTGATAGGTATAATAAATCAATGTGAATAATGCCTTCTTACATTATGACTCAGAGGATGATATATATAGGGAAGTTCCTTGGGGATTCTGCTTAAATTTAACTATGAAATTAAAAGAAAAAATATTCTATGGGTTGAAACAATTTTTGAGGGCATGATTTGTATGGCAAGTCAAGTGAATATTCACTATGTGACAAACAAAATCAAGAGAACATACACTATTTATGAAACACAAATTTCCAAGAGTGAAAACGCTATTAGTTTATGTTGACAAAGTAGCTTGACAGGTAGTAACTCGGCAGAAATGAAAATTTTAAAGAAAATTCTACTCCAAAAAATTTAAATCCGAAGTGTTAAAGCAAGCTAAAGTACTTTCTTGGTATTAAAATTGTATGTAAACACCTCTAACATGCAATCTTCATATTACAACAAATATACATAATAGATCACTTGAAAGAAATTAAGTTTGGGATGCAATCCTATTGAAAGCACAATTAAAATTATTTATAAATTTGGAAATTCTCCATCTCCATAAAACAAAATAGTTGAGAACACTTCCTATCAGAGACTAGTATGAAAACTTTCCTACTTATCCGGTTATCCCATACTAGGACCAACATTACCTACAATATTGGTGTGATAAGTTGATTCATGAACAATCCTAAACAATACATGACATAAGAATTCAAAAGACGGAAAGGTCCAACTTGTGAAACTTTCACAAAAGCATAATAACGTAATATGATTGAATAGAGGTCAAATTCACGAAATTATAATTTTTTAGTCAACAAAGTCGTGACTTGGATATGCATAAAAATAAAGTTGCAGCTAAATCTAGCATAAAAATTGAATTCAGATATATGGAACTGGAAATCAACAATATTATTTTGGAAGATTTGAAGTTAAATGAAAAGATCTTATGAAACGCCATAGTGATAACAAGTCAAGCATCATTATTACACAATTTCGTGTGTAACATGACAGTACAAAATATATTGAAGTTGATAGACACATAATAAAAGAGAAGTTTAACATTGGTCCAATTTGCACTCTATTCGTAAACTGACATTCACGACAAAGGATCATTAGGGGTAAAATTTCAAAAAATCATCAAGCAAGCACATAATGGATTACATCCATTCAATCACATGAGTGGACGATTGAAATATCTGCATAATTTTGTTATTTGGGACCCACACATGCCAAAACTTTTGCTCTCCTTAATTCCTTTTCCATGTCTGAATCCATGGGTTCCTACTGTGTATTCATCAATTTTACAATTATTTTGTTATTAATATTATTCCTTGATTTTATTTTTTTTATTAGAATTTTTCTTAGGATTATATAAATTATGTACATGTCAAAACGATATTCGCTCAACCAATTCTTTTCACACTCATAATAAATTTCTAGAATTAAAGCTGAGCAGATAAAATGATGAATTGCCTCAGAATTTGAGAATATTATGCGAAGAGAATATCATTGAAATAATTAAATTTATAAATTTGCAATTAGATTAGTATGCATTACTATTTATACCATAATTTTACAAATTTTTTTAAAAAATGAACTTAGTGTTGCAGAAGAAAATACCCAATAACAAGTGGCAATGTCACAGAAATAACGATTTAAAGTAAATATATATACATGATCACAATTAAAGTAAGTCGGAATGGTTGGCAATCATTGGAGATAACATAGCGCAAATTAGTGTTGGGTTTGTTCAAGCATATAAAATGTAAAATGAGATATATCATATGGTACTATTTTAGAATTAATATGAGATAAAGAAGAATAATGATTAGCGAAAAGGCATTATGGACAACTTCTGAAAGAGTTTGTATAATGTATACTGAGCACTTATTGTCATACTCAACTGAGATCCAAGAGGAAAATTCATAAAATAGACCAAAAATAGTCAGGATGACTTAACAAGATGATGATCATAACTAATGCATAATACTCAATAACTCCCAGCTAAAATGATTTTTTCTGATATATGACAATATTTGTGCAAACTCATTCTAAAGCAATTTGGTAAAATTCTTTTTATGTCAATCATTTAGTTATACCAGTGGATAAGAAGGTGTTACCTTTATCTTTTCATACTCTCTAGAGGCGCAACTTTTTGCATCTTCTGTGATTCTTATATTCCTTTTTATCTCCTCTAATCTCTGGATTCTGGAATCATTACCGCCAAAAATCCTAGCAGAGGCAGCTTCAAGCTTTTCAGCTCTAGCATGCCAAGAAGCAAGATCTGATAAAACTGTTTGCAATGTCAATAAGGCACTGGAACGCTCCGAGTATGCATTCCGAATGCTTAGCATTAACCCGCTATACTCGTGCAGTGTCTCCTGCTAAAAACAAGAACAAAAATCACTTGGCAAGAAAGGCCTCATCTAAGGGCTTGTTAGGGATCATTTTTGTTTTTTGTTATGTTTTTCTTCTTCTTTTTTTTTTTCTTTTGAACATATTTGTTTAGAGTGTTTTTTATATGTTCATATTTTTTGTTTCTAAAAATAAATTAACATGATTGTCTGTCTAAACATTCAAAACAGTTTTAAGTGTTTTTAAAAATAGCCTTACTTTAATCAAATAGCCAAGCATGTTTATTTTAAATCAATATATAAACACAAAAAAATTAAAAAATAAATAAATAAACAACAAAAGTGATCCCAAACAGTCCCTAATATTTTTACGCTAAAAATCAGCATTGTCATCAAGAAATAAGATATGCATGGATACCAGGTGTCTGATTGTTTGAGCATTTAGTTCGCGGTAAAGCCTGCTTGCTTTAACAGCGGAAGTTGCTACAGCTTTGGCATCAACAGCCCATGATCTCTCTGATATATGCACTAACTCATTGTTTTCTAGCTTAACTAGTTTGACAAATGACAAACCTAACTCTCCCATTGTTTCTGCAATATCTAGTTGTGCTTTGACTAATGCTTCAGCCTGAACCAAAGTAAAAAAAACCAAGTTAACATTTCAGCTTAATTCAAAGCAAAACATACAATTTACCCAGTGCAAGGATAAATTAAACAGTAGCATAAATCGAGTTAATAACCCTATACCAATCAAATGTTAAGTAGTATTGAAATAAACAACCGTACATGTTTTTAAAGTAAATTATATAAACTCTAATTCTGCATCATTCATTAGATGGCATCCAAGGCTTTGGATGTGCTTGAAACTGTTATCTTTATGAACTTCATACTAAGAACATAGAAAGAAAGCTTATCATAAATTAAAGCTAAGAAAATAATAAGGAAGATTTACATACATGTTGCATAATTCAAATATATTTATATATCTAATACCTAAACTTTTATTCTTTTATTACATTTGTAGCACCTTACCTATACATGAAAAGATATATTTCCCCATTTAAAAGTTAATAATAGTGGCATCGTTAATTTAATATGGAAAGATGTGAGTGTTTTTGAAGGAAAAGGTGAGAGAAAATTCTCTTATTCCCTTAATTTTAATTTTCAAGTTACAACTCCTCTAATAATATAGAGAGTAAACTCTAGGGAAAACATAATTCTTACAATTACAACTTATCAAAGATACAACAAACACATAAGGAAAGAACTACAAACATAATAATAGAGAAATAAATGAGGATAAATATAAATGGGAAACAGATAATTCCACACTCGCTCTCAAGGTGGGTCATAGATGTTGTAGAGACCCAGTTTGGTGTTCAAATTCGTGAAGCTACATGGAGGTAGAGATTTCGTGAAGATATCAACAACTTGAAGAAGAGTCGGAATGTAGATTAAGTGAATAACGCCTCCATCGACCTTCTCAGAGATAAAATGTCTATCAATCTCAATGTGTTTAGTCCTGTCAAGGTGTACAAAATTCCTTGCAATACTAAATACGATTTGGCTGTAACATAACATCTTTATGGGATTAACCGTGGAATATACCCAATTCATTTAGCAACCTCGGAATCCACATTCCTTAACAAATTCCCAAAATAAGTTCCTGGTACTCAGATTTCACACTGTTTTTAGAGACCACTACTTGTTTCTTGCTCCTCCATGTAACAACATTTTCCCCAGACATAGGAACAACACCTAAAGGTGGATCTTCTATCTATGAGTTCGCTTGCCCATCAAGCATCAGTGCAAACTTCAACATCGTTGTTGTTAGATTTCTTAAACAACCCTCTACCAAGGGTCTTCTTAAGAATCTTCATATTTTGTGCATATCTCCAAATGTTCTTCAATCGAATTGTTCATGCAATGACTCACTATGTCGATAGAGTAAGTGATGTGGGTCTAGCGTGTGACGGGTATATAAGCTTGCTCATCAAACTCTAGCAGCTACCTTTTACCATTGAAGTCTTTTCTCTCCCTAACTGTAATTTGTTGTTAAAATCTATAGGAGTCTCAGCAAGTTCACACCCTAGCCTTCATGTTTATTTTAATAAGTATAGGATATATTTTCTTTGGGATATCACAATTCCCACCTTGGACCTGATTACTTCCTTGCACATAAAGTATCTTATTACTCCTAGATTCTTAATTTTAAATTTAATAGTAAGGACCTCTCCTTAATCTTTCTAATCTCTTTGCCATCATCACCTATCAGAATGATATCATCAACATAGAAAATAAGTATCATTTTCTTACCTCCCCGTATATGCTTTATGAATATTGTATGATTTGCTTCGTAATGATATACCCATTAAACTTCATAGCCTTGGCAAACTTGTCAAACCCAACTCTTGGCGATTGTTTGAGACCATAAACTAAAACCTAAAGTATATTTGAGTCATCTACCAACCATTGAGGAATTTTCATTAAAATTTCTTCTAGATCTTCATTCAAAAACACATTCTTGATATTAAGTTGATGTAAGACCAACACTTATAGTGTTTAATTTGGCTACTGGAACAAAAGTCTCTTGATAGTCTATCCCATAAGACTGAGTGAAACATTTGGCCACCAACCTAGCCTTGAATCTTTCAATGCTCCCATTTGCGTTGTACTTAACATTGAATACCCATCTGTATCTAACCGATCTCTTATTTGGAGTAAGCTGTGTAATGGACCTTGTGTCATTTAGCTTAAGTGTTTGGATTTCTTCTTCAACTGCCCTTTTCCATTATGAACTTTAAAGTGCTTCATGAATCGACTCGGTATCTGCACACTGTCAAGATTAGATACAAAGATTTTATAAGTTGATGATAACTTCCCATGGACAACATCCTCTTGGATGGGATAATTTGTGTAACTTTTCCTTTCTTCTCCATTGGATTTCACTTCCCTTGGAACCTCAGACATGGGTGAATTCAAGTTTAGTTGTGGACAATCCTGTGGTTGCATATTGTCTTAATCCTGCTCAGTGCATTTCTTTCTTCTTGTCTACACACGAGGGTCCTTATTTTTTATCTTCAATTAAATGTTCTCAACTGGATGCTCTGTGGATTTCTTTCTCTTTGTATACACAAAAGGTTCATTGTTTTCAATCTCTAGTTGAATGTTTTCAACTAGAGGATCTTGGGAAGAAGGATAGTTAGAAGAAGAAGAATAGACTGTAATGACTCTCGATTAGTTTGGGTAACCATAATAGTGTAGGTGTGAAAACTCTAGGTCACTGTGGGTGTCTAGAGTGGAGTCTCAAGTCTAATATTCACTTAGACTCACCCCCTAAATATTAGATTTAGGATAATAGAGCCGGTTTTCAAGGAAAGTAACATCCATCAAGTTATAATATTTTTTTCGTAATGGGCAAATAGCACTTGTACCCCTTTTTATTAGAAGCACACCTCATGAATATATATTTGAAGGATTTAGGTCAATGTAAACAAAAGAGGCACAATCAAATATTTTTAAAGAAAAATTGGATAAAAAGGCTTTGACATGAAGATATTTTTCCATCATAATATCGAGAGGGACTTTGAATCCAAGAACTTTACTTAGCATTCTATTAATAAGGCAAGCTATTGCAAGCACCGCATCTCATCGAAAATATTTTGGGACATTATGAGAGAGCCTTATAGGCCTAGATGAACAGTTCCGTAATGTTTGAATAACTCAAGAAGATGGGAGATATCGTAGCTTCTCGGGAGATTGCAAACGTAGAGCTCGCATGGTCGTGCCCTGCTCTTTGTCTCATCTACAAAACCGACTGATCCGTCAATAGCTTTCCCATCCTCCCCAAAATCTACAAATTCCAAGTTGGTCCTCTTTTTGTTTTCAATGACAGCAAGAATCCTAGAATTTCTTCTAGGTTTGTGAGGGAGAAGCAGAGAGGAGGGAGGGGAGTTTGAGCGGGATATAAAAAACCAGAGAATGAGGAAGGTTGATGGATGAGGCTGAGCGATGAGAATTGTGAGATGAAAGAAAGCTTGTTGGAGGCCGTGGCGACCGTCACCGCCATCGAAGTGGATAGTAGCAAAGGGAGCGAAGTGGATGGGATAAGGAGGGAAGCGGAGAAACAATCGACGCTAGAGCTAAAGACACGAGAGAGGCGAGATTGAGGGCAGCAGGGTAAACAATTGCGAACGAACGCGGGCCTCAGGGTCGATCCCGCGGCCATTTTTATTAAGAAATAAATTACACTGTTTTACAAAACTCAGCCCAAAAGGACTATTCAAACGGGAAGGTCGTGTCGCCCGCAGTTATAAGCTGCCCCAAGCGGAGCCTTAATCTATTGGAATTAAATGAAAATATGACTCTCAATAGGACACAATGAAGAAAAAGGATTCATGTAGTCGACCCCACTTAGTGGGATAAAGGTTTGCTTTTGTTGTTGATGATAGCCTATGATTGCATAATACTCCTAAGTTACTTCTCAATTTGACTACCCAACCTTAGCTCTAGCAAGTATATCCTTATATCAATCCTAAGTGCACTCAAATTTTTTTCTCCACGATATTATTTTATCTTCTAGTAGTTCACAACAACAACAAGTCTTTATCCCACTAAGTGGGGTCGGCTTTATCTTTCTGGAGTATTGATAGGAAATTATTAATATCATATCTATAAAAAATTATATATGTACTCAATATTTATTTTATCAAATTTATGTTTTTTATCTTCTAAATATTTTTTTTATTGTTCTAACTTACTATTTCAACAAAATATCTCACTGAAAGGAACAATATTATTTGTGGCAAGCATACACCAAGATATCTCATTTTGAATTTCTTTTTGTAAGCATCTTTATAACCACTGTAAAAAAAAATGTGAACTTATCTCTGATCCTTGATGTAATCTTATTGCGAATGAAAACTCTTTGGTCATTCTAAAATTACTTATAATAACATTAAATGGTCAATCATATATGTTTTTTGTAACCATAACATATATCAGGCACAATAAATTAACTTGCGGTACTAAATCAGAAATTTTTTTGAATAAAAATCATATGAAGATCATTTGTCATCACTTTATACTTTATATTATTTGTCTCTGAACTAAAGTTGCCTCCGCAGAAGATCTTCTCAGAATAAAACTAAATTGAGTATCAAAACTAATGTAACTTTTCTAAGTCTATGTTTTATTGTTCTCTCACATAGCTTCATTTTATGTCTCATATGTTTGTTCCTTTATAATTACCAAAACCTTAAGCATCTCATGTATTTTTAAATATCGTACCAAAATATTTCTTCTTTAATTATTCAACAACATTTTAGCCTTTGAATACTATTAAAAGATTTGTTGATAAAAATATTGCAACATCACTCATAACTCTCAAATCCTGATAGATATCACATTTAGACCAAGAATTTAACTTTTATACAATTTTTAGTGTTAATTCCACTTAACTTTTTAAAATCAATTTAGAATGTCTTGTTATTTTATTTATTATGCTCTTCCAAAATTTAGTTGTCTTTAATCTTTATAATATTCATTTAGAATATCAAACCTAACCAAAGTCCCTGAATATCTTATATCCCTCCTTAGTTATTTTAAATATCTCATTTTCTCATTTCTTAGTACTTAGTTTACTATATAAATCATAAAAAATGAAACCATTTTCTTTCATCAAAATCCTATTTAGAAGACTTCTAACATTCTTATACAAGTCTCAATAATATTCATTTTTTGGCACTCACTAAAAGCACACACAATTGACTTAATAATTTCTTATCTCCACACACAGCCACTATTTCCTCATTATTTTAGGATAAATTTCCAAGCTCTCTTAACTTTATGAGATACCTTCTTAACAAAAAAAAAGATTCATAACTGCACTCAATATGCAAAAACAATTTTCATATTATAAATTGGAATCTTGAGCCTCTAAGTCTAGAAGATAACTAAGGTCATCTATAAGTATACCATTTTTTTAACAAGGACAATTTTTTAACCTCTCACACTTTCATTATTTCCTTATCGATTAAGATCTATTTGTAAGCTCCCATAAGAAAATTTATGAACATCTTCTTAATGAAAAAGATTCTTAATTGCACGCAATATGCAAAAAAGTTCTTTACATTATAAATTTCAACCTTGCACTTCTCAGTGTAAGAAGTAACTAATTTCATCCATAGGTATAGCAATCCATATTGGGCAAATGCAGCTAATAATTTGTCCAATAAAGTCCTCATCTTCCACTGACTATACATTCACCACTGGTTAAACTATAAACGACTCCATTGAAAATTCAGGTGAATTAATTCTCTTTACCTTATCCGATGAAGCATTAAGCTGCAGTGCGAAGTCCTGTATCTTCCCCTTCCTCTCCAGAAAAGTTTTATCCTCCTCCACCGCCAATGGCTTCACCCCAACCAAATCATTCCTTACCGACTGCCTCAACTCCTTAAACATCCTCACCAGAGCCCTGCCTCCCCTAGCAGGCATCACCGACTCCTGCGGAGCCATCCACCCACTTGAGCGATTCCCGAACAGCTGTTTCGGATTCCGCAGAGCACCATCCAGCGGAAACTTTCCCGGCTCCCGGAGGAAAGCTCTAAGCTCCTCGCTTCGCCCAATCACGGGATGCGCTGCAAGCCTCTGCAGATACTTCTCCAGAGCAGCCCGGCGGTGCTCAACGAACTCGTGTTTATGCATCACCTGGCTCTCCACCAGGCTCTTGTCGGGACGGAGCGGAATGAAGAAACCACGGTAGGATTCTGCAAGGCAATCTGCTAAGGTAACCACGTCGCGAAAGCGGCGGCGGACGCTGAATTCGGGGCCACCGGAATAAGTCCGAGTTGTGATCAGGTAGGTAATAAAGGAGCCGCCGAGGATCAGTGAAGTGGCCGCTGTGTCCTCCTTCTGGGGATCGGAGACGCTGATCTCGAAATTGGAGGCGAAGCCGGATCTGGAAGGGAGATTTCTATCATTTTGAGGTTCGAGAGGGAGAAGGAGGTTTACAGACGACGAGGCGGCCGAGAGAGGAAGGGATTCCATGGATTCGTTGAGGAGAAGCGAATCAAAAGATGGTGGGGGGTCCCGGCCCATCATCGCAGGGATTGAGGGAGGAGATGAATGCGGCGATCAGGCGAGGGGTTGAGAGATTGGAGGGAGCGGTAGGTGGGGGAGTCCAGTTGTGGGAAATTCCCGAGTTGAGTCTTGATGAGATGGGCGAAGAATTGGTGAATGGTGACGAAGGAATGCAGCATGCGACCGGGTGAGAGATGACGAGAAATGATTTTATTGGGACCCCGTGTACGATTTATTATTTATTTATTTATTTTCATGTGCAAAATCATATTCAGCTGGTTCTTTATGTTATAAACTCTAAGGACATGTAAATAAAAAATATGATCACTCTAATTCTGAAGAAATTTGACGGTCTAGAGGAGACAAGAATCATAAAAGAATGCCCACCAATAGAGCCCGAAGGCTCACAAAGTCCATCCAATGCATTCAGACGAATCGAGACTCACAAAGCCGACTAGATACATTCACACGAACCTAAGCTAGCAAAGATGACCAAATACATCAAGACAAATCAAGGGCTACAAAGCTGACTGAATATATTTGTGAAATGCCAAGAATATTTTGTAACACCCTCGTTAAAAGAGAGTAAAAAAGATACCCTTCAAATAGGGAGATTATTTTATCTACAAAGGAGAAGAAACAAGTTTAGATAAAATAAAATGGACCATCAGAGACTCAGGTTAGACTCTAGAGAACAAGTCACTATGCACTTTTTGTTCTATTTTCTTTCGTTCTCTTCTGTCTTACTCTTCATTCCATTGAGGTGTGATTCATGGGCAAATTCAGATCCGGCATAACACAATTTTGAAACTTGTAATATACAACAAAGTGATTCATTTTATAATAAATTCACAAATGCTTACTAAATGATAACCTCAAAACAAGAGTAATGCATAGCCATGTCTTTGTGTGCCATGCAATAAATAAATTCATTTTAGAATAAGTACATAGCTGATTATTGCTTTATAAATTCAAAGAAAGTATTGGATTTTAGAATAAGTACATAGCTAGTGAGCCACACTTATGCATATTCAAAGGAAGCGATATTAAAGACCCAAAAAAGGGAATAAGATAGGGAGCAATGTCCACTAATGAGTGGGTTCAAGTCACAACTCATTTAGATAAAAATGAGTAAAATTGTGCCAATTCTTAGCCCTCCTCTAGATTTCCTATTATGTTTAACTTTTTATAAGAGACTATTCGATTGAAAGATTTTAATTTTAAGAAAATGGATTGCAGTGTTAAATTTTAATTAATTTCAAATGTGTCAAATAGTTTATTTTAGGGTTATTTGATTCGCCATAGAAGAAGTGTATTACATTTTTTTTATATAGAAGTTTCATAAATATGTGTGTTTAGTTGGATGAGTTTCAAATTCAATGTAAAATTATAATGCATTTGGAATTAAACCTTTATTTTGTTTTCTAGGTATTAATAATTTCCTAAATTTGAGCAAATTTTAAATGTGCCACTTTATAATTGCTCATCATCGTCGATGCCCGCAGCCTGCCAACAAGCAATCCGTACCACCCGCTTGTTGCCCCTAATCCCCAACAATCTGATCGTTTTCTCCACTCACCCGTCATCAGTCATTGCTTGCCTATCATCATCAATCGTCAGTCACTGTCGTCGCCTTTCTGCCACCGCCATGTACTTTACCACCCTCTCTGTAGTTATGTCAACCACATAATTTATATTGATTTAAATTTTCTTCAAACCAAATAAAAGAAATATGAAGTTTCGCATTTATTTTAAGTTGAAGCAAACAATTTAATGTATTCCAAATACAATATATTACATTCATATTATAATCTTTTTATACTTCAGTCCTTCTCATAAGACCAAACAACCTCTTAGTGTATTCCAAATTATTTTAATTTGCTTTTATTTGCATCAAAATTCAGAAAAATAAATTATTAATAAAGTGAAACTTAAATTCTAAGTAAATTTGAATTTGAGGATACGGAAAGGTATTTAAGCTTGATGGGAAAAGTTTTTAAACCTTAAAAATTAGCCAAAGCCGTTGATTAATTCGGCCAAATCCCATTTGGAAAGCATTTGCATGAATTAATTAAATAAAGTAATTTTCATTAATGTAATTATGCTTAATGAATAATTAGCCTGTGAAGTAGTTAATGAATGCACAATGAATTATACAATCAAATGAAGAATAAATCAATAAAGAATGTAACTTAATACATAAATATAGTTAATAAAATTTATCACCTAGTTCGTATATAATATTCATAAATTATTAAATCATTTATAAAATTAATTCAAGTCAAATTTTAAGATAAAAAATTGTATTAGTTAAAAAAAGATTAAATATGTGAAGTATTAAAGCTAACATTCAAAATATTAAATGATATTGCAAAAGAAAATTGTTCCAAAAAAGAATCAATTATATAGTAAATAAAAATCAATTATGATAAAAGTAAATATTATAACTTTAATTTTTTATGTGAACTTATTAATTATTAAATAAAAAATATGTGACACACACTATGAGACTTATAGGATGAACCAAACCTACATGTATTCCTGAGCTTGATTTTCACATGATTTTCCTGAAATAATTATGCATCTAACACTTAAACAAAATGTCAGTGCATATAATTATATATTTTTTAACATCAAAATTCAATGATTAATTATGGAGCTTATGGAGCTAACACAAAAAAAATCCCATATAATTTAGAATAGAATGACAATTGCTTCCCATTTAATTTCATATGTATTTGCTCTTCTATTTTGTGAAAAGAACATGTTTAACTAAGCTAATCTAGTTTGGCCTAGTTTGCTTTGGCTTAGCCTATTTAAGTGCACTTAGGATTGGACATGTGTGATTTTAATGTTGTTAGAGTAACATGATGAGAAGATCACTTTGCCTATAAATCAAATTTTTGAATTTTTTTTTTTGTTTCATTACGATCAAAAGAAGATACAAAAAAACACAAACATCACAAAATATTTTGGAACACATCAGGTTCTCATCTGTTGATGATGTTGCAAATGTTTCTCCTTTTGATTACACACATGAAATCTCCATTTAGAAAGGAATGGAGCGGCTTAATATAACCTATTTTAATCAAAATAAATATAATTTACCCTATTTTGGCGACTTAGTAATGTACTTGGGCATTTTTGATGTTAATAGAATCATCAAGGTGACATAATAGTTCGACCATATTTTTTTATATTATTTATAGTTTATGTGATATCTTAAAGAATTACTAAATTCATAATTTTGCAATCAATATAGTTTTGATATATATATATATATATATATATATATATATA